CTTTGGAATATCTGCTTAAATAAAAAGCATTCCAAATTTGTTACAGTCTATTACATCTCTGATTTTATAGTCTTCATATTTTTTATTAATTGTTTCCATTCACTGGGAACTTAACAATTTTTATGTATGCAATATTAACAGTTAGTATTTTTAGTATCAACTTTTAAAAAACTAATCATGCCAATTCCTTTAAATTTTTTTCCCAGACAATTTTATCTGAATTCGTCAAGCCTTCTTACTTTGGAGTTCGAATTCTTTCGTAATTAAGTGACTGAGTTCGAAGAGTTTTTTTAGAAAATAAGACAGGTATGCATTTAATTTTTATGGTCTACTTCTGTTTAGTTTTGTTTTTTTGCATTGAGATCAGAATTAATTATTGAATATATAATCATTCGTTCAGCCTAACGGTAGGAACTCATCATGGATAATAAATTTTTCTTCACTTGATTCATGAATCACTCAAATAATTAGTAAATCATTTACTAAAAACATGATTGATTTTATAAATTCTTTTCGATAATCTGTTTGTTTCTTATTTGCAATATTAACAACTTTTTCACATCCAAATTACCGAAACAAAATAGAATGAACCATTTCCGGTTTCAAGTAGTTAATTGTAATAGAGTAACTTCTTCTCAGCACACATATTTTTACAATCCTATTTTACATTCTTATTTCATCCCATTCTTGATAACTACATAATACTTTCATATAACGAGGCGATCGCCGATTCTTTCTTTGTATGGGTTATGCCCATATTTGCGTTATCTGCTCCATAACTGTCCACGGCATGATCGCTCGCGATATCGACACAAAATTTAATTAAATAAAACTTATACACCATTCGCTAGGTATCTAGTGTCAAAACAAAAAGGAGAAAAAAACCAGGGATAAGCCTTTGGGTCTTTTGCGATACCAATGGAGATATAGTTAATCCTATTATAATTATATTGCAAACTTAATAAACCGACACGTAAAACCAAAAGTTTTAATAGCAATAGCAATGTCCAATATAACTCATAAATGCTCTTTTATTCTCACATACCGGATCATAAAATCCTAATACTTAAAAACATTCTGCGCGATTGACTAAGAAAGTTTACATTTGGAAGATTTCTGCTAAAATTGTCTGGCATATGATAAATTATAGATTTTTATGGTGCAATTATCAATCTAGCTACATCTGTGTATTTGAAAAGAATATAACATTAAATAATAAACAAATTCTCCTTAGTTTTTAATTTCCATAAAAAAATAAACTTTGAAACGCATCATTCAATGTACATTTTTAGAAATCCATTTCAACATTAGATGGGCATTTGCAAACCAGACTTGAAAGATTAAATTTAAATAAAAAATTATACAAAATACGTTTTGCGATTTTAATTTCAAATAAATATAAAAGTCATATAAATAAAATGACAAACATTTATTTCCCACATTCAATATATTTTCATCTTTATTTTTAAATTGTATTCGTTAAATATTTTTAATTAATCAGCGTAAAATAAGTGATATACATTCATATGCAAATTTTCAAAAACAAGTCAAAAACGTCAATGACATGATATATAAAAAAAAGTATCTTAAACTGAAAAATTGCATATTCAACATGTTTTGACAAAAATTTATATACATATTAATTTTAATTTGTTATTCTATTTGTAATATTTTCGTATTAAAACGACATTATAATTTATATGAATAAGAAAATTTGAATAAAGTAAAAACCTTTAAAATCATTAAATGCAAATAAAATTATTGCAAATTTTATGCAAAGTTTCGAATACTGAGAAAAGATTGACTATGAAAAAGTAACTGTTATTCAAACAATTAAGAATCTAAGCTATGAAATAAGCCAACACAAAAAATATCTAATTTTATATAAAAACGATAAAATCTTTTCACTTTTTTATTTGCTTCAAAGTAAAAGTTTAAATGACTTTAACGGTTTCAATTGTATTTCAAATATTTTTCAAACGCTTTTAAAATTCACTTTACTTTCATGTAAACTTTAATAGAAAATTATTAAGTAGGTGTGATAAAATATTACCATAAGTAATTAATGTACACGAAAGTGTACTGCAATGTATATTGTACTTACATTTTTTCATAGATACACAAGAAAACAACAGCTAAGTACTCGTTATTGAGTAAAGAAATACATAATATATATTCATAAGTGAAATTATTAAAATTCTTGCAATTTTAAATTTATTTCTATAATTAGGCTTGGGAAATAAAATGCTTTTTATAAAGATTCACATTAAATGATTTCAATTTTAAAAGTATCTGCACTTCACTCAAAAAATAACAATAAGAAAGCATTGCTTTTGTACGAGTACACCATATCAATATACAATTACATAATTGCACTCAATACATTTTTAACTGATTTTACATCTCCGAACACAAAAACAAAAAAAAGGCTTTTGTATGAATTGAATTTTAAGTTTTCAATTCAAAATGAATTGAAAAAATTTACCAAATGTTGTAAAACAATTGCATACGATAATGGAATTTGAAAAATTAAATTTTTTTGTGGGAAACTATGTCAAAAAAATTTGGGTTAAAATGCAAATATCAAATTTTTATAACAATTGAAATGCTGATATAATTACAGATACTCCTCGTGCCTTATATTTTCACACATCATTTCATTAAAAATGCTTTTACCCCACTCACATTACACATAAGATACAGATACAGATACCGATACCCATACCGATTATGCAAAATATTTTGATATTATCTTACATTGTTACGCTTATATATTTTTAATACACATACAATATATTATATAAAAAAAATTAAATAAAAAGTATTAATATAAAAACAAAAACATTTATAATTATAAACTTTGAATAGTGGTTTTATTAAATGAAATTAAGAGGTATTTCAAACAATAGTGAACTACCACAACAAAATTCTTTTTATATTATTTTAATTAATTGAATTTTTGGCTGACCATACAGCTGTTTCGAGTACTGGTACCCATCATCAGTGGTATTGGATATAATTCTTGTATTTAAATATTCGTAAATATTTATTTTTGAGACTGTAAGTACCAGCAATCGAATGCAGGTCCTACCAGATTTGAAGCTCAGAGTCAGCGCACATTTTTCTGGAGTTTTGTTACTTTGCTATGAAAGTTCATTAGTTCAAATTCACTTTCTGTGTTTATATTAGAACGAAATCATAAATCAGCTGTAGAATAATTGATTTAGCTAATAATATTTTTATTATTAATTATTAATTGTTAAATTTCAATTAAATTAAATTAAATTAAAAATATTTATTAGAATATGTCCTATAACGTAAGATCTTGGGCTTCCAACTTTAACTACTGTAGAAAAAAAAATTTTTCAGTTCTGTGATAATTAAGTTTTACGTGGAAAATGTTTTCATTGCAAAATAAACTTATATACATGTAAGTACTTTTAAGAACAATGAAATATAATTAAAAAAAAAATAGGTAGAAATGCTGTTGAAAATAGTTGCATTACTTATTATTTGATTTTTATTTATTTAAAACATATATACATATATAGTCTTCTTCCGAGTCAATACAGCGCTAGCAACATTAAAAAACATTTTCAAATCATTTTTTTACTCATAATCTTAGGTATATCCATGCCAACATTCTGTATAGTCGACAATTTTATATTGGAAAATAGCTACAACTGCATAGAGCATAATAAAAGACCCATAAGAATTATGCACTTTTTTATCTAAAACTTGCATATCATGATGGCTTTGTACTATGCTGTATTATCATCCACGATGGTGCTGTCTGAATCTTGATATTCCAGTTAAAGTCGTTCAAGTCTGGACTATTATCTTCATAGAAATTCTAGATAATATTCTGCTGTCTGACTTTCTGGTATGAATTCACTGAGAACAATGCCATAAATCGAAAAAAAAGTCAGTATTGTCTTTATTTTTCAAGTCACTACGGAAAATAAAATTTGTTTATCTATACATACGATCTATGGATCTGTAAAAAATATTTTCAAAATTGGAAAAGTATTGAAATATATATGTTAAATGAAGCTATATATATTTTTTAAAGTAATTATTTTAAAGACAGTTTAGCATTTCATTTGGAGATATGGTATGGGTTATCTTAGGTTACTGTAACCTTGAATTAAACTTACTTAAATTATACGGTCCTTTAGTTAACACTCTTTAACATATGACTTAAACAATTAATTTAATTTGAAATCATTGCAAAATCCTGAAAAATCACAGAATGGTTTTAATCTTATAGCTAAGCAGGTATAGAATTGTTAAAACCCACTATTTTTTAGAATAGTAACCATATTTTTCTTCAGCTAATTTAAATTTAGCGAATTTTGAGTACTTGGATATGATTAAACCAATAATTTTTATTCAAAACTTAAGTTTGTAAAATTTAATTAAGATAATAAAAGATTTATTCTTTAGTCGTTTTTTATTAATTTTAAAGATTTTATTAATCTTATTTAAAACACATTTTTAATGAATTTAGTTTACAAATATATTGTATTTATTTTATATATATACATATTATATATATTTACAATATATTTATATTTCATATTATATGTATATATATATATATCATGCAATTTACATATATTTTTTGCAGCCAATCTAATTTATATTGAATATTAGCATGGCTTGACACTCATATGACATTGCAATCTTATATTCAATTAATTTTTTATTAATTTATACACTAACATTAAGTAATTTCTATTATTACATTATATATTAAAATATTTTGCATGCATGTCAGTCCAATTTATATAGTTTATACAAATCTTAAACAAATAATAAAATTAATTATATATGCTCGCTTTTTACCGCTTTTTTTATATTTTTACATTATTCATTTTGCAGCAATCTTAACATGGTTGTCTTGAATTATAAGGAGTGTTTTGATTTTAAAATTTTTTTTATTATTTGAATATTTATTATATAATCTGTACCTAACTTTTTTTTATTTCTTTTTACAGATATGAAGTCTGCATGCTGAATGGTGAGTTTTAAAAGTTTTAAAAAACAAAAAGTACTTAAAATTCCATATTTAATGCTATTTAAAATTCTAAAGTAGATTTTGTTAATTCTATTATCTTTTCATTTTAAAAATTCTATATATATCTTATTGATTTCTAACTCAAGGTTATTATATTTACTTTAAACAAAAAAAACTGTTAAAAAAATTTTTTTCTTAAAAAAATGCTAATATAATAAAATAAAAATTAAAGATATATGAAACTTACTGAACAAATATATGTGAAGCAATTATAATTTATTATATGAAATTTAATTTTATTTGTATAAAATCCTTCTTGATATTAAAAGTTGCTTTCGCCATATATTATAATATATTTTTCAGTATTTTTTTTTAGCTTCTAATAACTATCGATATTAACGCCTTAAATATATCAAAATACTTTCCCGCTTTCTCCCTTTAGTGTGTGCATACTTGCATTTCCTGTTTCCACTTGGTTTTGGAAAATAAAGTAATTTTTCCGCACATATATCAAGTGGAAACCGAAACCACGGAAGCCATAAGATGAGCAAAACAGTAAACTGACCAAACTGGCAACAAAAAGTGGTATATGTACATTTATACATATATTGTAAATATGTCCATTATATATGGGAAAATGAGTCTATCAAATGCCTGAAAAGAGGCCAACCAGATAAATACAAGTGCAAGTGGTTTTTTGAATTCTAGCAAGTATTTTATGTTAAACAACAAATAAAAAAAATCATATATTGACATATACTTTGTTCATATACTTTATTTCTCCATTATAATTAAAGTAATATTTCTTTAATTGTCTTTTCTAATTATTTTTACTATATATCGCAACAAAAAAATATATTTCTATTGTTTTTGACTGACCATTAAACGAAACACCTATCATCAGTGGTCTTTGGAAACATATCTTTGATATTATTATCCATAAATAATTTTTTAGGTTGCAAGTATCAAAGGTTAAATTTTTATTATATGTAATTTGAAGTGCAGAGCTAAGTTTATTGGCTCCCAGCACCACACTTGACTTATGCTATTCTCACAAATTCATTTATTGTGTAATTTTAGGACGAAATTAAAACCCACAGCTATACATATGATATATGAATTGCATTCTAAAGTTTTTGAACTCATATTCATATTTAAAGACACATTATTTTTAGTAATTGCAATAATAATTAAAAAAAAAAGTAATTAAAATTTAGAAAATAAATGAAAATTAAAACATTAAAAAAAATAAATAAAATTATAGTGGAACAAAAATAAAATAAACGTTATATTATATATAATAATACAAAAACAAAAATTTTAGTGAACTGAAATGTTTATGAACGAAGAAATGTCATTTAAATTTAATTAATTTTAATAAATAAGTGTTTTCGTTTATTTTTTTATATAACTTACCTTAAGTTCTGTTAAGTTAAAAATTTATATTATTGTTATGTTGGGAACATTTGCTCTACAACCTAGATATCTCTTGTGCCCCTTTGAAAGGCATGCAGTATTTTTCCACGTCGAACTTTCTCTATAAATTATAGTATTGCACCTATATTACCTAGATAAATCTAAGTACCATCAAGTATGCATCAGGTGTGCATCAGTGCCTAGCAAACCCGGTTAAGCACTTGGTTTCACGTGTCATTCTTTTCTCTACAGAACCTTAAATTTTAATTAATTAATAATGTTAATAAAAAATAGAGCTTTGATGTAAATTATTTTTGTTCAAATGTATCTATTAGAAAATAGTTTGATTTCAATACAAACTATTGAATTACAATATATGATTATAATTAAATTAAAAACTAAAAATTAAAAATAAATTAACAAAAAACTATTAATTCTTTCAATTTATTAAAGTAATTTATATATTTAAATTCGCAAATATTTTAAATAATATTTTAACAAAACTAAAATCAAATTGAATATAATAATATATTATATTATTTTATTTATATATTATTACTTTTTTAAATAAAATAAAAAAATTATAATAAACATTATATTATTTATTTCTTATTTATATTAATATAAGTAATAATTATTTATTTATTATTTATATTGATATAAATAATAATTAAAAAATAATTCAAAAAACACCAAATCAAAAAAATTAAAAAATAAAATAAATAAAAATTAAAATAAAAAAATAAATTTAAATTTAAAAAAAACTAAACGAATCAAAATAAACTATAATTTACAGTACAAATTAAACAAAATTTTCTTTTTGTAGATCACCTTAAGTATTTCGAAATACTAATTAAAGACTTTTAAGTAAATTTAATTAAATTAATTAATTAATTGTTTCTTTTTAATTACTAATTTATTTTTTAAATAACTGACCTTGAGTCCTAGTAAATAAATAAGATTAATTTAAAATAAAATTTTATTGTAAATCATTATTGTTCAAACTTTTTTATTTAAAAATATTTTTATATTAAGTAAATAATATTAATTAAAAATAAAATTTTATTGTAAATTATTATTGTTCCAAATTTTCTATTTAAAAATAGCTGTTCTCAACCTATATTATATGTCTTTAAATAGAGTTAATTAATTTATAGTTTTAATTTTTTTGTGTTACTATGTATTATAGAATAAATAAAATAAAGTGTCACATGTTATGTATAAAAAAAATATCATTACATTACATCACTACTTCATAGTGATCAACATAACCAACCCGCATAATGTTCATAACTTTTAGACGATTTACTGTACACCTCTCCTGACCATCATTTACGTCATTTTTCCTTCAATTTTTTTCAAATTCCACACGAAAAAGTGTTTACTTAATTTTTTGCACCATTCCACCAACTCACAAAACAAAATGCCCACTAAATACGGAACACGCTATATAACCACTAAACCATTTAGTGTAAGTGATTATTATTGTAAGATACACTATAAGCAGCGCAGTATCAATAATGTTGCTATTATTATATATGTATACACTGTATACACTGCACAACATACGGAAAATTGCTATTTTCCACTATGGACAGAGTATTTCTTTTACTGTTTTTATATCTATCCATACATTATTCACACATAACTTAAGATACATATTTTCAAGTAACAGGTTTCTGTGTTTGCTGCTATTGTAAAAATGCACCATTTGCAACGTTTGTGCTACATGCAATTTCTTTCCAACGAGGAATTTTTACTGTTGCATGCGGTAAAATTCGTACAATTTTAAACGGAAGTAAAATCAATGCTAGTAGAAACTTAAATGTAACTTCATCTTAACTGCATTCATCTTCTATTCATTCAACTAAAGTGCACAGTTTTCCCTCATATATCATTGTTGCTCTTCTCAATTACATTATAAGATAGTTCGCCAAGCTCGCTAGCTAACCACTAGGTTAGCCAAGCTCATAACAAAAAAATTGCAAAATAAAAATTCAATTAAGTTAATCTATTAAACAAAATTAATCAAATTTAATTCGATTGGAAAACCTGCTCCGCAGCAGTAAATATTTAGCATGTTTTGCTCAAAGTGTGTCGCTAAGTAAAGTGAGTTAAAATGAAAAATGTTGTTATTTAAACTACTTGAAACTAATATACTTCATTTAAAGCCTTAAATTTGTTAATTTAAAGGAAAAAAAACACTTTAACCCAAAAATGTAAAGAAACGCAACTAAACCTAACCAGCAAACGAGCGGAAATTTAAAAGTTTTCCTTTCAACGAAACCACGAAATTCCAAAACAAAACAGTTTTTCTTTCTTATGGATTGCAAAAATAGTCAGACAAGCTTTTGCCTTCCAAAATTATTGCGATTGTAGGCCATATGTGAGAAACTGGTTCTCGACCATATAAAAGTAACATACTCGTATGTGGAAAAAACAGCATTCAATTTTTTTAATTAAATGGAAAAGATACAAAATAAAAAATTCATGTTATTTAAAAAGTGAAAATAATTTTTTCCAATATTTTCTTTTCAATTTTCTTTTCAATATATATATATGTCTCCATGACATATACAATATTTGTTAACTAAATATTTCATTTACAGTTATAAATAAATAATATTCTACTATATGTATGAATAAAGCTGTTAGAATGCCATACGCTTATGCACATACGGAATAGGCTGCTGGGAATATATATTTTTACGAAAGAGGCAATAAAACTCTGTAAAGTAGGTTCTATACTACTTTTTATTGACGCAACAGAGCTTAGAGACCTACTTAAAACCCAGAAAGGGGCACAATAGACCCGACGCTTGCAATGCCAAATCTCTTAATTATAATAATAATAATAATAATGAATAAAGAAAATTAATTTAATCACTAATATTTCTATATTAAATATATGCTACATTATGATTTACATATAACATTCAAGAAAAGAAAGTTACAATAATTTTTAATTTTTTAAAACATAATAATTTGATCTTGATTCTATAATCTTTAATATTAATAATATCCACTATGAGAATTTTCTTTGATATTATTAAAATGTGTTTGATTTTCAATAATACTTCCATCCAAACATGCCACTAAACTTCCCAATTTGAAAAATACCGCTAGAACACGTTTTGGATTGGTCTTGCGTTCGCTCCAAAACCTTGAATTTATTCTATCTATTATTGGAAAAATTACCACAGATATTGTATTTTATCTAGAATATGTCCCTAGAGTGCTTTTTTAATTTGGAGAAATAGAAAAAAATCTCAGGGTGCAATATCTGAGGACTATGGTATAGTGTAGTGATTGTAACTTATGTCATAATATATTTTATCTCTAATATGTATTTACGTTATGATATATTTTTCTTCGAATATTTAAATATATAAAATCATGTAAGCCATTTCGGAACTGATTTTGGTCCTTCTTCTTTTATAATGACAACATTCGTAAAGTTTACCTTTTGTAACGACCATTTATCTTTTTAGCAAGCTAATATGTTTAATTTTTTCAACGTTTTATCATTAAACGTGTACTCGTATTTTAAGAATGCGTCGCAAACGCTTGTTTGTGAAGACTTATAG